TGGGGATAGATGTGCTTTAAAGCTAATTCTATGCTAGAGGCGACAAACATGGGAGACTCAGGCCCGAGCCAGCCCTTCAGAGACCCTGCTGATACGGTCGGACTTCTCCTTCAGAGAACAGAGGCCTGCAAGTAATCAGGGGCATGAGATACACAAAGCTAAGTCAGAAAATCAGAGGGGGGGGGGTGCGATCGGCCTCCTGCGCCGAAGAGACTGGAGGCTGCTCGCAGAATGCTAAATACTGGACAATCCACCCTGAAAGCGCTGCTCCATAAGGACACTGCAGGGTGTGTGGTTTATGTGTTTATGTGATTGAAGAGCACAGTGCTGCCATGATGGTAAACCCCCCCCCCCACGAGATCAGCCCCAACCAACTCTCTACAGACACAGCCTTCAGCTTTGTAGGTGCGCTTGTGCATCTAATGCACAAAATCATGTGGAACGAGGAACCCGTGACTCGGATGCTTGAGCGGGAGTGTCGGAAATAGGGGCAGATTCCCCCTCTCTTCCCAAAAACTGAACAGGACAAGATATCTGCTTAGGACTGAATGATACTAGGAAAAAAGTCTAATTGCAATATTTTTGGGTTTTCTGAACGCTGATTGCCTTCAGCAATATGAATCTGAGCGTTACTGAGCCAATTTACTGCGCATTCAGAGCACAAGGACGAAACATATATCAGAAAAAAATCATTTAATCGTATGAATCAGTAATTTTTTTACTGGAATTATCTTCAGCTGGGAATGGTATGTTAGTGTGCCCTGGGTTTCTCCCTGTCTTACACCCATAGCTTCTGGGATAGGTTTCAGAACCACCCCCCTCATTGCGCCCATTGCGATGTGACAATACAATATACATCGGGGCAAATTCCATCCCCTCCAACGTTAAACTGCTTCCAGTGCCATTGTGTAAGAGTTATGGGTACAGGAACTCATATAAGGAGCATCATGTGTTAAGACAATCACTGGTGCTCCAGAGAGTGACTCCTACACCCACGATGCATTGCTTCCTTTGGGAGTGTTTCCTGACTCGTCCTCAATAAGAAACAAACACATACAGCTGTGGGAGCTCAGCGAGGAGCATTGCTGTCTCGTATCTCCAGAGCTGTGTATCTTATTCCCAAACCCGTCTCTGTGATTGTGCAG